GATCGGTTTTGATCAACTGAGAACTTCAAAATGGATCTTCGCGGTTGTACAGTTTTTATCCTACCGTAACGTGTAATAATTCTTTTAATTAGTTTTGAGTAAGCTGTTACGCTAATTCGCCGATAGAACGCGTGAAAAGTGTTACCTCGTAAGTCTTTGCGACGTTAAACTCTCTTATGCTCTAGAAACCCCGAAACGAATTACCTAATCCCTCAGAGGGTTTATTAAAGACGAACGGGAATTTTAAACGATAGTCCGAATTTGGCCGGAGTTTAATTAGCGTCAATGTAAAGACGATTAAGGGGCGCGCGTTAATTACAAAGTTCCGCGGCTCCTCGATGCAATTTCTCTTTTGAGAACAAACTTTCGATCGTGGGTGCAATTTAATTCCGAATTTCGAGTGTCCATCGAACGGCCTACGCGTGCATCGATGCAACTTGCCGCAGCCGCTGGTAATTCGATTCAATCATCGATTCTCGTTAAAACAAGGTTAATCGATTCGATTAGAACCCGTGTCGTCTAATTAATTGGGAATCAACGGAAGAGCATCTGCTTCGCAATATCGTAAAAATCGACAGCGCGCCGCGTTGTAAGGGCCGCGATACGCTCGCTAACATCTCGATGAACTAGAAACCGGCGATCCCTTTGGCACCGAGTCAAATACTTGTTGCCGGTGGATGCTGGCGAACGAGAATAAGTTCAAAGCAGATTAACCGAGCGCGAGTCGTTCGATTCCGATTATGCAGGGCGGCCCGAAATTTCTGACCGGCGATGCTTTCACGAAAATGAACGAACCATCATCATCGGAAATTTTCGCAATTAATCAGCCTCCGCCCGCAGCGGCCGCTAATGCTTCCCCGGACGCTCGGCGCAGCGTGCCTCGGGGAACAAGCGAAATACAAATCAGTGACCACCGTCGGTGTCCGATATACAGGATTTATTAAATTATTACAGCTATTATTATATGAGAATACAGAATTTTTACATGTACATTATAATATATTACGTATCTCGCTATTTACTCTCTTCTTTCAATTTCTCTTTTAT